GTTTGTTTCATTAATACGCCAGTAACTTCCAAAATTTTGAACCTCTGCAGTCCTCTGAAGACTTGACAGGGGTGCACAATGGAGGGAAATAAAATTAAAGAAGAAACATAGCAAGAAGGGGCTTCAACGTTACTAGTAAAATTTTGAAACATGTCTATGAGAAAAAAGCTTTACATTGACGGAGTGGAAGATTACGACTGATAATGATGCTAAAAGAAGAAAGGTGTTCGTGTATTGCAGAGTCTTTGCCGTTTAGTGTCCGCTAATATTTGTCAAATCCCAACAAACCGCACAGCAGTATGCAGCTTAGCAATATCCCACCCATACCAACACACCAGTCAAATTAGCGTCGTTTAACAAAGATGGGTTTTCTAATCTCTGGCAACGGGAACTTACTAGATCGTGTCATGTCTGCCGCAGGGTCGTCGGCCGGCTAGAGCCCATATGTCGCATAGTCTTCGTTGAGACTTTAGGACTGTGTATAATTTTAATTACTAAGACACAATGATGATATGTAATAATAATTCTAATCGTCTATTGGAAATCATAAAGACGATAAATTTATGAAAAAAAATCGGATGACGGCAGGACATCGTTTAATAGGGTACACGCAGAAGCGAATATGGTCGATGGCATGGTGGAAGGTGGCAGGAACAGGCCAGTGAATCGTCAGCTTAATCATTGATCACAGACAGGGCATTTTACTCACTAAACAAAATTAATTTTTATTTTATCGCTTACATATGCTTTTATGTCTAAAAAAGAGTTTTTTTTGAAAAATCAAGAGAGACATTTTAATGAAAAATCCCGAATCTATCAACAAATCCATGGTAACCCTTAGTCCACCCGCATTTGATTTATAACCTTTTCGCGGCCCATACCGACGATAAATGAGGGGTGGGAGCTGTCGTGTTTTCCTTATTAATATATTTAAAAAGATTAACTAATGATATATGATAGTAATTATCTTATTTGTATACACGCCACTAACTTGCAGAATTAGCGGTTCTAAGTCTGAAAAGATATCTAGATAATATAATAAACAGCAAAGTGTAGCTGTTCCTTTGTTACTTTTCCTTATGTATTGGTTTCTTTGAGGTAATTTAATGAGATTGATAGCATTACTGCTTTTAATTAGTAGTTAAATTGGATCAAAATGTAGACGTTCTATTTAACTGAGTTGTACAATTCCTTAAGAATGAAGAACCTTAACAAGTATTAGTTTTCTTTTATGTACATAAGACGTGACTAGAAATTTTAAATGTTCAAATCGAACTGTAATTGCTGTACTTAACGTCTTTGTTAAGTTCGTTAAGTCACTGTTAAGTTATAGTGCTATTAATTTTATTAATGGCTTAGGACTTTTGTATGCTTAACTGAAAAATAAATTTTAAGCTCATTGTTTACATATTTCTAATATCTTTTAGTTGTTTAGTCAATATTAAGTAAAACATTGTTAAATTAATTTTATAATAACGAAGAAAAAAATATACATCAAATTCTTTGATTATCCTCTTGGATAAGTTTCCAATATTTAATTTTTCCTCGAGAAATTGGTAACGAACATTCATCGAAAACTTTTAAAGCTTTGGTAACGGAAATAAATTTAATTGTTTTTATCATCTGTTATTATGCCGCTCATAATCTTTTATGGATCTAATAAACATTTTACAAGATTTTAGCTGAAATGTGTATTAATTAAGCTCTTGAATTGTAACCTAGTTCTGTGGTCAAGGCTTTTCTTGAAGTGTTGAAATCTGCTGAATAAATATCTTAAATGATTGGTTTTAAATAAACAAACTTTCCTAAAGACTAAAGTAATATGATTTGTTCTAATAAAAACTCGTATCTTTGGCAGGAATTACATTATATTTTACTAACATAATATATTTAATCTTTAAATAAATATTTGGAGACCCAAAAAGACGATTTTCGATTGCAAAATATATATTTTAAATTGACACATTATAAGATAAAAGTTGTGGAATAATTTTATATAGAATTTCTCAACTTGGAAAGTTTTCTGAGCAATCTGTTGTTTTGTTTTATCGACAATTTGTTTGCGAAAAACAACATCTTGTTTTAAATTAAATTTTCAGTTTAATATAGCGAACAAAAGATGCAAACTCACAGCGATTCTAACGAATTCAAATCTCTATTATATTCAAACGGAAATTATGTTCTTTTATTAAACTATTCTTCTTCAACTATAGGTATATTCAATTTTTTTCTAATTCCATCTTTTGTATAATTTGAGATATCTCCATATGTCCATAAGATAGCGGTCAAGTGACGATGTCCTGAAAAGAAACGCAGTGAACCGTGCCCAATATACAGTATGTAATTATACAACGGATGTGAGAGTCTCGCATCTAGAAAGAGAATATCGGGACGGGAGGGAGGTGGGGGGGAAGGTAGTACCGCGGAAATTAAATTTGAGTTCGTTGTATCTTGACCAATTTGATGTTTAAAAAGTAAGATTTTTTTAACTATTTGATTTAGTTGCTTAGCAATGGCTATTTGTGACTAGAAATATGAGTGATTTTTAAGACTGATGCCTGATCCTGGAAGTTAAACTTCATTATTATATTATATTTAATGTTTACTTACTTCAAAGAGAAAATGCTTGAAGGTAAACTATAAAGGGTTCTATACGATAAGTCCTTCATTTGCTGGCGTCACTAACAGCCGATAATTGAAAGTAATAAGGTAATAAGGAAAGTGGCTATGCATTCGGGGACATTGGGTGTGACGTCACGCACGAGGTAGAGGTCAGGAATCAGCCGCGCGTCCTCAGACCAATGGCACGGCCTTACGCTGTCCCTTGGTGATCTATAGGCAGCAATTGATAACCTTATAGCTTAATTAATTTACGTATTGTTTTTCAATGTAACAATTAAAAAAGAAGTTTTATTCGTGTGAAGTTTTATAAGTTTAGTAATAAAATGTAATGCATTTCCTATACATTTTTACTTTGTAGATTTATTGCATAGAAATATTAGAATCTTTTAAATTTATTACTTGACCAAATTTAGCCCAAAAATACTATATTACAACTGCTGCCTCTTTAAAGGTCGTTGTTCTCTTTGATAAGATATATGTTTATAGAGCATTATGTTCTAAACAAATTGAAACTAAATGAAGGACGTGTGAATGTTTGGTGGCAAGGTGATTGACCTTTGAATAGATCAGAGATATTCCGCGAGGTGCTACTTCATGGCATATGTTTGCACAGCAATAATTGTTGCCACGGAGGCGTCGCTGAGTAAATATATATTGTTTGCTACTCTTCTTAATATTGATATAAATTATATGAGAGTTTGAACAAACTGATGCATAATTAATAATCATTTATTTAGTAAACAAACTCATAAACAGGTTGAAAATAAATTAACAATCATTGAATGCAAAGCGGTACATTACGATAAGAATTAAAGGAGTTTTTGAGATAGTTTTCCTGAGTTCTCCAATTCTTAGTTTATCTGTATCTTAGTGGCCAAAGGTTCCTTGGCGTTAAAAAATCGTGTTTAAATTTAGAAATAATATAGGTTTGGATTGTGGCCAGTTTGTTTTCATTTTAACTTATTATTTCATTTAATTGCAGTATATTATGTTTGTTGTAGCTTGTTACCATCGATTGGGTTTGTGTTAACTACATTTTAATTGCGCTTCGTGAATAAGCTGTTATAACATAGAAAATGTTAGGGACGAGGCAGTAACGACTAAAGTTTTCGACAAAGCCTCGCCGTGGCTACCAAGTTATAACTCAATTTAACTAGTAAACAGAAGCTTTGCAATAAAATTTCATTAATTAATATAAAATAAATCATTATCTTAATTACGTTTATTCAATTAATTAATTTTTGAATTCATTAAAATGAATTTAGGTGTTTGAGTACAATATTGCAACATAATAAAGCAAAATAGAATACAAAAAAAATGGCGGACAATTGTTGTATGCAGGAGGAAGTAAAATAATAGTACTGTTTTGCGACATCACAACAATTATGTGATTTAAAAAAAGATTAAAACTGTCGATTTAACCGAATCTGGTATTTATTAGTTCTAAAACCACAACGTTAACCGACAGTATGATTAACGATAGGGCGTTAACGTAGCTCATTTATGCGGGTTCGAACCCAGGACTTCCTCTGTGTCTAGACGCTCGGTCAGGCACATACAACTCAGTGGCTCGGCAAACGAATACGTGCAGGTTAATGACGGAAGGGACTGAATATATGAATTATGAAAACCTTATATTAATCTTGTTCTTCGTCTCGATTGCTAAATATATTTTTATAGGACAGAAGGTTAAAATACTGGTCGGCCGATGTGTTTACGTTATCGTCAAACTGCCTTCGGTGTATATAAAAAGATAAACATTGTACGACTATTAATAAAAATAGACAACTTGTATTAAAATTAATATAAGCAATTAAATTCTAAGAAAGATAGTATAACGTTAAAGTTCTTATTTTTATGGAATATCTATTCATCTATGTGTTATTTAAAAATGTTTTGCTTTGACTAACAGGCTTTATAATATTGTGACATTCACATGATTGATGTATTATAATAAATAATAAAATTGCTGTATTTTCCAATTTCCAAGCCGGATGCGATACCGTCGACCTTGCTTATTCCCTAACGTGACTTTTTGCATTTGTAATACAGAAATATGAACTCTACTACAATAGGAATAAAAGTTCTATAAGCGCAAATGTATTTTTGTTGGTATCAGAATGCACATGCGTCGGACTCTCGAGCCTACGCCGTAGCGGTACTACGCTCAGACGGCGCCCGACCGCCACAGAACGCGCGCGACAACCCCGCTACGAACTCAAGCCATACATTACGGAACTTTTCATACTCTCTATAAAATTTATGAATCGTTTTCGGAAAACTATGGTCCTTTTACTAACTAAAGTTTTGTGTATAAACTCATAAATTGTGTGTGTATTTTCTTTTCACAAATGACTTAGTGTTGAATTTAAATTAAAATGGCTCCATTGCGAGTGCCAACAGACTTTTTTACGGATGATGTGACTGACTTTTTGAACTATTCGACACAGCATCCGGGAATCGAATCGCCCAGGCATCACTTGCGCCACAGAAATCATTCTCGCGATCATTCGAGAAATCACAATGTTGTCGATATGCTATCAAATTCGATAATGGATGTGATAAATACAAAATTTATTCCGGACAATAGTGTTTTGCCGGATATGGAACCACTTTCAACTCATATGGACGGACAGGAACGGCATCCACTGAGGATGAATATAACGATGAATCGGTCTGACTTCGGTGTGATAAGCGAGGAGTTGCTGTACCGGCATAGCGGAGCGATGACAGCGGTCTACTGCGTGGCGTATTTGCTGGTGTTCGTGGTGGGCCTAGTGGGCAACTGCTTTGTGATAGCGGTGGTGTACCGCTCGCCGAGGATGCGAACCGTCACCAACTTCTTCATCGTGAACCTCGCCGTTGCTGATATCCTGGTGATCGTGTTTTGTCTGCCTGCTACTTTGATGTCTAATATATTTGTCCGTGAGTATTCTTCTTCTTTTTTAATTGTTTTAAAAACTCCATGTAAATTGATTTATTTTCACGGATTTTAATTTAGTTCTTGTTTTAGTTCAGTAGGAGACAAAATAGTAAAGGTTAAACTATGTTTTTTAATCAATTTATTAAATAAGTATTTCTCTAGTTTTTTATGAGTTTCGCCAGTCCTCAACATCAATTTGTAAACTTGTATAAATCTCAGTACTGTATCCGGTAGAAGTTCCGTCGTCGTGTGAAAGTTATTTTACAACTTGTCAAGAGTGAGAACTCAACTTATAAAGTGAAATGGGCTCGCATGTAGCGCGGGATCTTAAGAGGAAAAAATTTGCGGTTTTAAAATACTTTACTATCTATGGTGGTTCGTGTCTGCTTGTCATAATCGGAGTAGACAGAGTCAATAATTATGTTTTATTAGTGTACTGTTTATTTTTTATTAAGAAGAAATAATTTATTTTTGAGCTACATAAATACGTAATACGATATTATATATTCATTTTCTGGTTCTCAAGTGTGATTCTTGGTGGAGTAATGTAATTTAATCGCTTATTACAAGCTCGTTTGATGTTCACAAATGACTAATTATGTTTAAAATGAGATTCTTAACGTAATTCCCAACGACAAATGTCATTAAACAATTTACGAACATGTTTCTAAACGTTGAATCAAAAAACAGCGATCTCTACTGAAATATAAGATTTATTATGATTTAAATTAGTAGCAGTTCATTTCATCAAATCTCTATCAACAGTAATGTAGTACGTGCAAGAAGCAGACGAGGTAAGTGAATATTTGATTGAATTCTCTTGATAACTTATGATGAAATATTGAATTTAAATTTAACTGATTTAAGATTAAAATGAATAAGTTTCAGAGAGTAATTTCTAAATAATTTATTCAGTTAGGTAAAACTAAATGCACTAGAAATGCAAGAAATTATATTCGTGTTTTTATTTTCATAAATTTATACTTTACTTTACTGAATATATTTAAGAATTCTATAAAAAATTTACTTTTTGTATCAAAGGTTTTCGCTCGATTTTCACCAGGTGAGAGTGGACGGTAACTTCGTTTATAAATTTCCATAATGCATTAGATTTTTTTTACGATCCTTTATGTCTGAGTGGAATACTTACTTATCATAAATAATAATTTAATTGCACCTTTTACATATTGCTACGAGTCTACGGCTCGGAGTTTCGCGTATATTAATGTCTACGGCGTAGTAGTATAACTCATGCGTTCACTTCGACGCAAAAGCTGTAGAATGTAATGCATACAATTACAGATTTTATAGACCTATTTCAGCTAGCATATTTATGTCATTGTTGATTTCTATATAAGTATGGTATATAATGGTATTGTGTGTATATAAGATCAAAATCTGATATAAAAACCATCCTATCTAAAATTACAATAGGCAACGACATTATTTAAAATGATTAAACAATAACAGAAAAAATGTATTTCAAGTTTTAAATTTTGCAACATTTTCAAAAGTTGCTTAAAATATGTGTTTGAATTTTGATTTCTATCTTTTGACACGTTGATCATAAGTTTGCTGTCGCTCGAGCGTTTATATTTGCATTTTTGGCTCAACACTCTTTTCTATTGTATCGGAGACGACAGAAGAGAGATCCTTAACAAAATATCAATGTGTTTATCGCACTCTGTACGTCTGCTTGTTTCGTATCTACACGATTTTTATTACGGTATTAGTGTTTTTAGTATTTTTATCAGCACATTCACAAGTCTAAGTGTCTACAAATCGTCTGTCTTTTAAAGTTATTCAATTATATGTTTCTTGGTAAAAATGATTTAGTTTTTTTTTTAAATAAATATTTACACTCTCCAGCAATATGGATAAACACAGACTACGGATTTTTATATTGCATGATTAGTTCATTTTAACGTTTTTGTAAAATCTCATATCATACATCTTCATATGTAGACTTGCTCATTTTGTTTTTATAAATTTTGTATGATATTTAAAAAAAAGAAAATGTAAAGAACATTTTGAATTGAATACGATATTTTAAATTAATTAATTGGATCGTCTTCCTTAGAGCTCTCAGCCGTTACCGACTTCTAAAGTAAAGGCGGGCTTTTATTGCGGCGAGTTTTCAGATGCTTCGTAATTTTAAAGGCTTTGTTGTTAAAAAGTTTGATGAACTTTAAAATTACCTGACATTGTAGCAATGGAAACACATTCAAGTTAACGAGAATACAAATAATTTTATGAATAAACGTGCGCCTAATAAAATACTTCACGGGTTACAGAGTATTTTTTACAGTAATTCGACGTTTTGAAGTAGAGCATATTTATAACAATTACAAGTCGAAGATAGCTATTGGCAAACTCTAACTTTTCTGTTTTTGAGTAAGATCTAATTAAATCTTCACCCAACTCATAAATGTAGGTACGTTAAAAAAACTTCATATCAAGTGATGAAAATTCAAAAGCATTAAAACTAAGTTCCAACCTGGACACATTTCAAAACGAAACGATACACCCAGTTAGTTATTGTCCGGTAAAGTTGTGACAAACGAGTGTCCGGGACACGGGAAGTAACAAGGTTCCGACGACTGCCGGAACTCGACTAGTTAGTTCCCTAACTAGTTCCCGGCACTCGGAACTTGTAGCGACCCGAATAAACTTGTTGAAGAAATGTTGTCATAACATTCATCTGGCCTGTTAAATAATTTGTTATGCATATTAATTGTATATTAAAAGTTTATAGCAGTTTATAATTTATAAATTAAAATTAAGGGTACGTATACACTATAGGGATGACGAATGACTTGTCTTGATCTAGATACAAATTGAAATTGAAGAAAGTTTTTAAAATTCTTTATATTAATATGATACCTAATTTGAAGTGAGGACCAGACTATTAGAAATGTAAAAGTTTATGTGGATAACAGTAACATTGCAACCAGAACGATCCGAAGATGCGGGTAAAAATACTTTAAAGTGTTTAAGAATTATTACAGCATTTCTTAGAAACACAACTCATTTACTACTACTCTGGGTATTAGAATGATTACAGCTGTTGGAATGATAGTCTAGACGCTGCAATAGCCGCGAGGAAGTGTACAATGTCGTTCGTCGCTTGTTGTCGGTCAACGTTAACCGCCGCAATCCGGTCCTTTAACGACGTCGTTCCCGCAAGATGTCCTCATAGTTTTCAACGCCATTAAGCAACGTTTACGTAGCTTTTGGGGTCCGTCTGCTAAACGTGAAACTCTTAAGGAAAATATTCTTCGCACAATTGACTCTTGTATTATGTGAAGATGAGTTGTTTTATTTAACGCAGTATTTGACTTTTAATCTTATAATCAGGTTATTAAAAAAATATTTATTTACATATTTGCCAATGCATTATTGTCGTGGGTAATCTCTTTTAAAAAAATTAAAAATTTTAAATAAAAAAAAAACAAAGAACACGTAAGCAATAATTAAAAATAATAATTATTAAATAGAAATAACGCCTATTTCGTTTCTAGTATTTTTAATGTTTACAATGGACGCTACTTGTACATAGTATTCAACAAAATTATACGGAACCCAATGTTTTCCCTGAAGTTTATTATGCATAAAACGTGTGAGCGTTCACGATTAGTACAACAGTTTACGTCTACATCTCGATGAAACTCGGTTGTATCAAGATGGAACACTTAGGCTATGACCGATGTTGTTTTATGACACACTTTATTGACCGTTTGGCTTCGGTGTCTTTAAGATATAATTTATTGAGCTACAGACCTAGTTATTTAACAAGGTTAGATTTTTATAGTCAGAATATGTCGTTACACTAACGATGAAGTGTCCATCTTGAAATGTTAAAGCTGTTGCTTCTCTTTTGAACGCAATACATTATTTTAAGTGATAAAAATTTTGTTACGATGACTACTGTTGTGGATCAAAAAAGTTTCCCTACTAATGCCTATATATCTGTAAAACAAACCTTAACCTTCTTTAAATATCTTTAGTAGAGCCTTTGAAACGAACGACGTCGAGTATAAAAAGCTGAAATAAATATAAGCCTCTTTCTTAGATTAATCAGTTGAATAAAAATCAAAAGATTATGAGCTTTTGGTATTTTATAAAATAAAAAAAACTTTCTAATGTAATTACGTCCGCCATTATGAAAATAGCTTAGATTTAAAGTTTATAAAAGTAATTATGTCTGAGCGGATTTCCAAAGCTTATTAATCAAATTAATTGAGCAGTCCTTGTCATCAATATTGTCTAAGTAAACGCGCGGTGGCCGAACAAAAGGCGCGGTCTTTGCCCCGGGAGCAGGGGAGGGGAATCGGACCCATCACTTATAAACGGACAAGCTCGTGGAATCGTAAAGAAGTCGCCATAAATTATGTCGGTCCGTTATGTCGGCTTTCGTTTGCCATTTTCCGACATTAAACCGACTTAATTATGGTGATAATGAAAGAAAGGAATGGAAAATGAAAGTATGCATTCCATGATCTCTATTTTGTATGAGTCAATCATTGCTTGTTGATTTTATCATTTGTGTCTCAGAGAATAAACTCAAACTTGATGTATCTCTATACTCTATTTATACCTTAAAAAGATAAAATATTTTAATATAACATAAGGTTTATAAATACTGTTTACAGCTTAATTATAATACGGGAATCTTCTGCCAAACAATATTAATGTTAAACCAAATATAATTATGGTTTTAAATACAATTAATTTTAGTTACCCAGCCTTCGTTACACGTGAGCTCGTTAAATTTAAGCTTGAACGTGATTACACCTTAGTACGTTAAACTACCGCCTTACGGCTTATATGAGGCGTTTACTTAAGAGTTCAACAATCTTGTTTATTCGCGACTCTTAAATTTACGTTGTTTGATACACATCGAGTATGACTATATGGGATGTTTTTGATATCATTATTTTAAGAACATCAGATAACATAGTTAGCGACTTATCATTTTAATCCACTTTAAAAAGAAGGAGTG